GAAGAGGGAAAGAAGAAAAGAGAGGATGGAGGAGGGAGAGAGCTTCTATTTCAATGGGAAGGAAGTTGGTGGTGGTGTGCTCTGAATCGGGGGACTCTGAGAGCGGAAATAAAATATATAAAATATATAAAATAAGGGAAAAAAAAGATAGAGTCTATTATGGAGTACCTGGTTATGGAGAAAGAGGTACGAGTGACTTCCATACGAGTACCTTCGTAGGAGTACCGCAATGAGAAAGTGAGCGAGACCTTTGGCCATCGGGGGTTGGTAGAGAGGACCCATCCATCATCCCAGAAAGCCAATGGACCACACGCAGAGAGGGCCTAGACTCCACACCTTTCTCTCTTTTTTTCCTCTCTCTCTCTCTCTCTCTATACCCTTTCTCTACGTCGATTTTACGAGCACGGAAGTCAGAGAGAGGTCAGGTACGTATGTACATCCTCTCCGTACTCCGTACATCTTCCGTACACAATAACAGCGACAAGCCCACAGCAGCAGACAATGTCCCCAGTACCTGGCATGGAGGTGCCGATGGCCCCGCCCACTACGTACCTGGGGTGAGGGCCATTACGCTGTTGCGGGAGAGCCTGCCGCCGCTCGCCATGCTCTGGCCGGGAGTACTCAGTACCTTTTTTTTTTCTTTTTTTCCTTGTTTGCCTCTTCTTTCCTCTTCCGTTCTTTCCCTGTCCCTCTTTCTCTTGTGCCCTCTCGCGCTCTCTTTCTCTGTTTGGGGGGGGGGGGTTGTAACACACCGTCATGTCCGTACGAATTGTGTTCAGTGGCGCACTGTAGAACAAGGTGCGGCAGCAGAATTGTTCATGGCGCTCTCATGCTCTGCTAAACTTTCCGAGTATCAGCATGAGCAGAGGTATGATTGAATATTGCATGGTCCATCAAGTATGAATGGCAGTGCGCATTGTTCTTCTCTGTATCGATTGAATGAATCATTTCGCGTCTCCCTCGTCGACAGAGTTAAGCTTAAGCCGCAAGGCCAGAGCCAGAAGGCTTCCATCAATTTTACCCTACAACTCGTGACCGTGTGAGAATGATAACACCGGAGGCGTAGTAATGTTATTCGTAAATTGAACTCGTGGATCTCTCTCTCTTGTCTTCTATCTCATAATAGGCACCCACAAAACGCCAATCCTGTTGATGACGGTCGCTGTCATGATGAACCCGATGACAACAATTGGCGCATCCATAAGTGATCGACAAATCTGACAAGCGCACACTGTCTGCATGAGGGAACTGGGGAAGGGAAAGAAAGAAAAGAAAAAGAAAAAAAAAGAAGAGACGAGGGTAAGAAAGGGCCGTACTCGTAATGCATGTGTGTGTCATTGCCGACGCCCCCAAAAAGTCAGGATGAAGACGGAAGATGAGAAAACCCTCATAGTAGAGACGACTACGAGTATCCGTACGAGTGAGTACATTGGCGTATGTCCCGCCAGAGAGTCGTACCAGCCGCGGGCCTTTTCTTGCCCCTCTCCGTACCCGCACACGATCATCCCCTTGCTTTCTCTACGAGCATGTCTCTGACTGTCCCCCAACCCTGGCTAGACTGGAGACAGCACACAACACACAACACACACATACAAAACCATGCCATGTCATGCCATGCCGCGTCCGCTGGGTGCAACGTACGGGGTATTACATGTCCCACGACCGTCGATGTAGGCGAGGGAGAGAAAATGTATATATATACATATGTGTATATATATATATATATATATATGTATATGTGTATATAATATGGACAGAGAGAGAGAGAGAGAGAGAGAGAGAGAGCCCATCAGTATCGATGGCTGCTGCTCAGTT